CTCGCTTTCTGCTACTTGGAACTATAACAAGATTTTAGAAAATTTTTATTTTCTCATATGTAGAGAAGGCTTCAAAACTGCTCATAACCACCTCTTGTTCAATGTCAGCAGAACTTGGGATAAAATAGCTTACAAGAACTTCCTGGGTATACATTTGGGATCTTACAATTTCTGTCCAATCTGTTCCGGAATCTCGCACTCCATGCTTCCGGGGTCTTTAGCTGCATCCAGGTCTCTTCAGAAAGAGAGTTGTTTTGAGTTGTAACTTTTCCAAGATTTTGCTTGGTGCTGTCATACTCCTTCTTTGTGGGACAATCTGTTTTTTTAGAATTTCGCGGATGTGTTTACCACAATAAGGATAAGCGCCACTTGAACATTTCTTTATGAATTTTGCTATCACTACCAAAACAGCGCATTCCCTTGCTACAAGAACAAGCCTCTTTCGCGTTAAAACAAGAAATGACCCCGATGAATTCTGAAGATATATGTATATATGGTTGTTCCCGTTTTGACTTGAAACTCGCATCGGGGCGCGAAATGTGGTTGGTTGGAGTCCAGCCGACACATCGCCGAGAGCCATTTTGCTTCCAAACGCAATTGATCCGCAAATCCGTGTTTTTCCATGAAGTACAACGAGATCTTCAGGGTATGTTACTCCTATTATTGATGCCATTAGCCTTGGCTCAAAACCTGTATGGACCGTCACAGCTCGATCAGTATGCACGACTGCTAAATTCTGGAAATCTCGGAGGTTTTGGCTTCTTCCAAAATGCTCTAGCTCAAGGCACTGTGCGAGGTCTTGGTGACTTGAACCCACCACCATTGTTGGCTGGATTACCACCACTTCCTTTGACTCATGAGGAAGGTAAGGAAATGTTGTGAGATTTATCAAAAATATCTCCTTTACCGCCAATAGATTCAGCTCGAAAAATCTCTTATCATTTCGTTTTGGTTTTTCAACCACATTTTACTCTTTTACACCTTTTTGCAAAAAAGCTCTCTTCAATACTTTTATTCAGTTATGAGGCAACTAACTTCAACGCCTCCTCCTCCTACAACGCGAGCTACAGCTATTCCTACTACTCCTTCATCTAACCCTGGAGGTGTCTACGCTGTCAATTCAATGGTAGAGATGCCTCCGATGCCAGAAAATCGGTGAATCACTTATTCTTATCGTCCCGCTCCAACCTTCTTCGTCTTAACCTCAATTTGTTTTAGTTTCTATATGAGTCAACACTAACTAGTTTATATAACTAGTGTTGTTGACAGTTGCAGATGTTATCTGCCAGGCGATTAACATAGCATCATCTAGTCATTAGTGTGGTCATTCATTTTCTTGGAAAACCCGTAGTAAGCTAGGCTGCACCAACACGCAGCCCAAAAGATAATTGATTATAACATTAGATGTAAATGATAATAGATAGCTAAAGACGGCGGAAGTTGTAGTACTCTTCAACTAAGCATAACATTACAAGAACAATCATCAAAATGTCTAATCAAAATAGCTGCGGCCTATGAAATTGGTTACGTTAACTGTAGGTTAT